TATTCTTTTGTCGCTGCTTCGCAGCGGTGTTTTTCAGCTGCATCTGAATTATATCTCCAATTGGCCAACAGCCATCATAATCATTGAGTTCTGTAAAGTGAGATAGGACCTCAAACGAAGTTAGCATCAAACGGAAATAGAAATTCTAGATGTACCTCTGTCTGGACTGCAACTATTGCGGCAGGTGTTTGAGATGTCTTGCTCTTGCTAGTGTCGCAGTGTTTCTGGATCGAAGCGTGAACGCACTCCTAATGTCATTAGTTTCAAGGGGATCTAATTACTCAAGTGCCAGCTCACCTTGAACGCCTTGAAGCGGCCGGAATCCCACTTGAGTGCTATTTCCAAGTTGTATCCACCACGGCTAGGACGTCCAGCCTCACCGTCTGGTTTGGGAATTTTTGACTCATGGGAAGCTATGGATGACAAAGAAGAACCAATTGACGCCTGACTGATCTGCTCTGCAGAAAATGAAACAGCCTTGGCGACTTTGGGGGTAGGCAGGCGAGAAAATATGGGTGTCACTGCACGAGACGGGGTAGTGAACAAGCGCGAAGGAGTGGCAGTTCGCCTCGTAAGACTACGAGGGAAGAAAACCATTTCTTCTTGCCAAGATATAGAGATGGACGTTGTAGTTGGACAAAACATCTCTGTGTGATACGTCAATAATGGGAGGGCTTCGGGAGGACCTTCAGGCTCATAAAAAGGAGCGACAGGCACGGAGGGTGAATGCATGACTGACCTGATACCCAACGGAGCCAAGAAGATGTTTTTATATGGGTGTTTAGCTCGGGTGTTGATCAGATGCCTACCAGGATAACGTTGTTAGGCAGGATGTCATTATTGATTGTCGTCCAGTTTGTTATGGACCTTATTGTGTCGGTCAGTCAATATAAGTCCTTCAAGATAACGATGGATGAACCCACTTTAATGCCTCCAATGTTTTTACTCCCCACCAGTCATTCCAACGATTATCGCCTCGAAGGGCGCCTTGTCGGGCATAAGAACGCCATCAATTGCTTAGCGGTCTCTCACAATGGCTGCATGTTAGCAAGTGGGGGTGAGTTCAATATGCACGATGAAATAGGAAGTAACTTAATGCATACCAGGATCTGACGGAATGAGGATTTGGGATCTTAAAAGGCGAGCTCAGCTCCCAATCCCACCTCAAACCCCAGCCATTCGAAACCCAGCGGATCCAGTAACTTGCGCGTGTTGGATTACCCGCCATGAGGCAACGCGGGAGACATTATGTTATGGCACGGGACTCGGTTTCATAGGGATCTGGCAGCAGCAGGGGGAAGGTTTGCAAGACTTCGATGCAAAAATATCAAGGAGGGTTGGAACGGGTAAGGAGATCATGTGTCTTACATGCGATCATACTGGCAACGACACTCGAATTGCGAGTGGGACGCGCGACAGACGCATTCAAGTTTGGGCGTTTGACTTTAAGGGACCGTTAATACCGATTTTCAGCGTCGAGCTTGCTACTACCATTCCGCGCACCATAAATTTCAACCGTACTGCAAGTAGAAACATATTAGTCTTCGGGATGTACGATGGCGAGATGTAAATGTTCACACCTACCTGATTACTCTGCATCTAATATCCTGTGGGCCATTCTAGACATACACTTAGGGGCACGGATGGCGCCGTCATCGCTACAAACAACGCCGGGCCGTTAATGTAAGTGATATTGACATCAATCGTTGATAATCACTTACCATGTCACTACAGCGGGCATGCTTCTGTAGATGCAGGCCAAACGCTGTTCCTGATGGACAATGTTATGAATGGATTTAGCTTACATCGCCTGGATGATGCAGTGTGTATCCGCACCTATAATACCAACCCAGTCAAGACATTTCCGAAGCAGGTTGTTTTTGGGGGGAAGGCTACCCTCGTGGTTGGGGGTAGTGACACAGGAGTTATCTATGTTTTTGATAAAAATGAAGGGACACTGAAACAGGTCTTGCAACATGCCGATACAGGCCGAGTACAAACTGTGACGGTGCGCTATTTACATGAAATTAGAATTTTAATCTGACAGACAAATGTAAGACATACGACGGCATACACCGCAGCCTGATCTTCGGAGCAACGTCTGTAAACGACGCGGAACCAACCATCTCCATCTGGTGTCGCAAACAAGACAGTGTTGCAAAGTCAGCAGATAATCGTCCTCTATCAGCGCTGAAGAGCTTCGTACGGGGAATAGTCCAGCTAGTTATCGCAATGGGGATGATAGCCTGTGTGAGTACTATCGTCAGAGACAAGACAAGCTGACCCACTAAGCTGCAGGTCCTCGGGCAATACAAAACATTATCGTTGGTGTCGCTGGGAAATGTCTGGCAAGAATATTCAAAGTTCGGGGATCGACCGCAGGACCTGCCAGATGACGTTCGTCTCTTACTAGAGAAATATATCGAGGATCGGAGGGGCGGAGTCCTTGAGAGGGCACAAAGCCCGGTGGATAATGGGAATCATGACGAACCCGTCAAGTCCATCATATTGGGACGTGAAAAGTTGCGTGATGATTCTAAGGACGTGCACGCTGTGATTCTTCTCGGAAGTTAGATAGATTCTGATATGGTGAATAAATCTACGCACAGTGTATTCGATTCAGATCGATAATCGGGCACTACACGTCAATAAGACAATTTGTAGGCACCATCTGTCCAGGCTTAGCCCCTATCATTAACAGCATTAATATTGACATTTGGTTTCTATTACTGCGCTCAAGTCGAAGTCAAAAAGCGCACTTTATGTCGAGTGTTTTATTCTAAATTGACTACGGCGCGCAAAGTGTAGTGCTAAGGTCTAATTCAAAGTTACCTTCGACTACACTACTACAGTATGGAAGGATGAAGTCGAAAAGAAAAGAAAGCTTATGACAGACGCGGGTTAATATACAGAACGACTATGAGATTCAATCTCAGCCCAAAATCATACTCAGCGCCCACGGCTGGCTGCGGCCGACTGGGTTTGAATTCGTAGTCAAGTCCATACTCAGCGCCCACGGCCGGTGTCTTAATAACCGAGGGTCTTATATAAATACGTGTAAGAATGTAATGACACCACAATTACACTGGATAAGACTTCTTGCCAGTCCTCGATTAACACGGTCTACGACTTTTCTTCTTTCGTGGTAGATAATGTGTGAGTTCTTGGGAGGCTCGCTAAACCAATCAGTCAGATTAACTTAGCCGGAGCTTTATTATCTCTGATTGAAACTATGGGATTGTCTAGGATATACCGTCTAGACACTTGAACTGGTTTCCTGAATATACGGTTAACTGTTGAGAAGCTGGTCTCAAATGTGACTACGTGGACCAAAGCTCGTGTTGGTCAATATACAAATACCTGGTGAGAACGCTGGTCTCACAAATAACAACAAATGACAAATATAAAACAATGACAAATAACAACAATGACCAAAGCTCGTGTTGGTCAGTATACAAATACCTGGTGAGAATGCTGGTCTCACAAAATAACAATGGTGACCAAAGCTCGTGTTGGTCAGTAAACACTACGTGGTGAGAACACTGGTCTCACAAAACTGGGTTTCTATCGCGAGAAACTTATGTAATCTCAAGGGAAACACTTTCCCTGCACTTGCCTGGACAGTTCTTACAAAGGAAATGGGCTTTGTAAGCAGCAATTTGTTCAGACTGAAGCTTCTTAGGTGAGAGTTCAATTTGCTCAAGAGGGAGATTCTTGAATGCAACAAGTGGGAGATCTATTTTTTGGGGGAGAATGGGCTCTCCTTATATACATTTTGTGTGGGAATATTATGTAAGTAAAAAGGTGATGTAATGACTTCAGAATGTGGGAAGAATATTCCAAAAACTGGAGCAGAATGTTCTAGCAGGTGCAAAAGAACATTCCAGAATATTCATGGTGGGATAATGACATCATTCTGAGTCACTATGAGTCATTATGAGTCATTGGAATGTTCTAGCAAATTCCATGGAACATGACATCATTATGACATCACTATGATATCATATCTTTCAACCAAAATACCTGCAGGAGTGTAGGTGAAGTCCTATGACATCATTATGACATCATACCCTGTAGGTACAATTTTATGAAGCATCTGATTAGTCAGAGCATCCTAATAGAAAAGTAAAGTAAAGAAACACTAGAGAAAACAACTCAGAAATAATAGAACAAATAATAGTACACAATACGCGGGCTTTTTAGATAGGTTTTTGTTAGGCTTTGAACTTTTCTCTATGGGTTTCTCTAGCCAAAGTGAATAAGCCAAATGAAAGGCAATACATTAACCTTCATTTTGCTTCTCATATCAACTAGGTCATTATGTGATTCCCATCTCACATATGACTTTTCTTCAAAACATGGTGGATTCATGAATCACTGAGGGAAAACTGAAACTATTGGACCAAGGTTTGATACCAAGGTATGGGTTGACTAGTCTGAGGACTAAGCTAACAGACTTTGTCTTTTAGGGGGATACCTAGTAGTCATGTCCATGCATGATTCCCAAATCATGCAGGACACCGGCTGCGGCCGGCTGGGTTTGAACTCATAGTCGTTCTGTATATCAAGGGCGTCCGTTAATCAAAATTCCCTTTCCGAACTCTAGGTACACGCAAGCGATAGTATAGAATAGGGATTTAATTTCTTATATTAAGCGCTACTTTATAATTACTGTTGCGTACACTAGTTACAAAGTATATGTGGGCCAGGCAGGACTTTTGTTCTACTAGGTCTTAGCACAAAACATTGGAGGACCACAGTGTTGTCTCCGCGATTGTCCTGCATTTGCTAAGCGCTTCCACATTAAGTCGTTCACTATAAATACGGCACCTGTGCGTTAACATCTCTTCTTTCCGTGACCCACTACTCAATACGCCTATAGATAGTACGCCTATAGATTGGTAGGATAGGATAGATACAATACAGAATTGAGCACTTGCATTGTAAGCGTTCCTGTTGCAACAGGATTATATGTTCAATTAATTGATATCAACTACAGGATGTCCAAACGAGCGGCATCTGAGTCTCATGATGACGAACCTACCTCGAAACGCATCAGGAATCATGAAGGTTAGTTGTTGCATCATGTCGTCTGTGTTTATTCTAATGCAGATAACAGGGACGAGAGCGCCATCACCGCTGGCAGATCACGGTGCATGGCGCATTCTGGAGCAGTACCTCACTACTGATATGACCTACCCTCAGATGGAGGCGGCTTTTGCCTCGTACTTGGGCAATCGATACGACGCAGATGATTGGAAAGAAGCTCGCGACGCGTTGTTCTCCGGCGACGATGATAACTGCCTCGCCTTAGCAAATCTTCTCGCCTTGAAGGCCAGGCATATACCCCAGGGCGCCTCCAGTACATCGACAGTCGTTACCCTGCGGAAAGATTCTGCAATATCTACGGCTGCCCCGAAGGCAGCGGTTCGCTTGAAAAGCGCACGCGTCCGAAGAGTAAGAAATATATTCGTTTTATAATGACATATATACTAAACCATACATGTAGCCAAAAAATCCCTTTATCGACGATGAGGCATCTGATGACGATGACGATGATGTTGAGGAGGAGGAGGAGGAGGAGGAGGGGGGAAAGCTCGCAGGTGGAGGGTGACGATGGCCCTTCTGTGCGGTCATTGAACGTTACACGCTTGCCAGGACCTTCATCGGCCAAGGATAAGCTATCCGCAGCGATCGATCACATCTTTGACAGGTACGAAAACGCCCCAAGCACCAGTCATAGAGCGGTCTCGTCCTCCGGCGCGGTCCCAAGCAGGATGTACCTTCTCCATGTTCACAGTGAGTCCTTATTTTAATTACCTAGCATCGCACTGAATGTATCCCAGGATCTGCCACGCAACGTGTCGCTGAACATCTCAGGAGCAATGGAGTAGCGGTTACCGTATCGCCTTGGATACCAGGCCAGCTCTATGCTGTCTCAGATAGCCCTAGAACGATTGCGACAACGCTTAATTTACTCTCTTCCTCCGTGAAAGATTATACTCACATCTCGGAGGAAGAACGAGCAGCGGTCGAACGTTCACGCTCTACACTTCCCAACCCCGGGTGGGTGAAGATCACACAGGGAAAATACAAGGGCGACATCGGCTATGTCTTCGACCCCAAACAATTAAACGACTTCGTCACAGTATTGATTCCCCCACGCGACTTCCCCTACGACATGCCTAAGAGATCTGTGGCGCTGCTCGACCGAGCTCGCCTGCCGAATGACAAAACAGTGTCTGACATTCTTCAGGATGATAAAGTCGTGGGATGGTCGTACAAAGGAGAACGATACTACATGGGACTTTTGCTGAAGAACTTTCGCCGCGACGGTCTGGAGCTGGTCGCCTCCCCTCATGCTAACGACATTCGACTACATCTCCAGTCCGGGTGGGATGTACCTTTCTTCAAGAAAACTCTGAAGACCTTCTCACTGCAGTTCTTGCGCGTTGGTGATTCGGCCAGGCCTATCACAGGAGAAGTCTGTCAAGAAATTGGCACGGTCGTTTCGACAAACCATGCGTCTGGCTCCGCATGCTTAAAGTTCATCCTCGATGGGCATGGGCAAGAACTGGAATTTCGACTCCAGGACATTGAGCGTGTCTTTTGGGTTGGCGACACGGTTCGAGTCGTAGCGGGCGCTTACGCAGGTCTGGAAGGGCACATCATTAAGAAGTCTGAGGACTTGTTTCACGTATGTCAAGAAGCCACCAATGAAGAGGTATGATTAAATATAACATCCTGTAAGCCTGTCTGACATCACATAGGTGGAAGTATCGAAGTACTATCTAGATCGTCGTCCTCTAACTCACGTTCTTCAATCCCGGCTGCCAATGCAGCCAGATTTCGACCCTCTCCCCGAGCCCGAATCTCTTCAAATCGGGGACGAGATAGAAGTATGTGCGGGAGAGTACATGGGGAAATGCGGGAATGTGGTGTGGTTTCCTATTGGGGGGACTACGCTGTGGTTCCGAGCTGAGGGCAATATCGAGGATGAGTTGATCAACGCCCCCACAGCATTTGTACAGCGCATTCGTCCCTTCAAGACTCTCCAATTTACCAAGGAAAGGGGTTATGATGTTAAGCCCGGAGACGTCGTGATTGTCGCCCGTGGGCCAGAGTTCCAGACAAAAGGGGTGGTGCAAGCCGTGGACTTCGCAAATGCGCGCCTGACCCTGATTTCTGAGGGCGATTACTCACTCGTAAGTACTACTCTTCTCAAATTGTGCGTCTCTAAGATATGACAGGTTAACGTTCCTATTGGATTTGCCATGAAATTATCCAACGTGAACCCGGATTCATTTCGCGACATCATCGGTAAAGAAGTCTTTATCATCGGAGGTGCACGGAAGGGCTACCGAGCCACGCTATACCAACTCGCTCATGATTCCTGCTCCGTTTCTGTGCATGGGCAAGCGCGCACTACGGTTAAACGCGAGGACGTTGCTACTAGGTGATCACATTTTGTATTGTTGTATTGATTTTTATTAACGACTATTTAAGATACGGAATGAGGTTAAACGGTGCAATACTCGAAGGTCCGGACATGATCTCCTTCTGCGAGATGCAGAAAAAATCGTACATCATGCCGCCATGTCGAAGCAAGACCCCTCCACCTGATCCCGTAGTCCCATCCAGTTCTAGTATGGATCCCAGCTCCAGCGAGTGGTCCAACTGGTCCAGCCATAACAACCATGATTCGGCGGATGGCCTTGGTGTCAAGACATACGACCCCTGGGTTGCTACTAATGCAGAGGACATCGAGGACGCCATCGCAGATATAAAGGAGAAGTCCCGAAACGGCAGTGAGTCTCTAACGTAGACTTGTCAACATTTGACTTATTTCATTACAGGCCCGTTACCTTGGTTGATGAACAAGGAGTTTGCGTTGAAGTTGACTCGTCATCACGTGGTGCTTAAAGTATCACCAAGTTTCATGGGAGGCAGACTGCATAATCGCTTCGTATCTACGGCCTGTCCTGACCCGTTCTGCGGTGAGAATGGACCCGCACCTGATGGCTGCGTCGCGGTATTTTGTACATCTAACGGTGCCGGAGCCGCGCTTCAGCACTATCACATCCCCGTCAGTGATCTTAGTCCAGCTCCACCGCGCAAAAAAAAACCAAAAGTGTCTCGTCCTGGATGGCGACACTCGTGGTGAGATCATGACTGTCGCGAAGTGCAACATGAAAAAGAATACTGTTGAGATTGCGATTACTGCTAGGATTAGCTTCACTTTGCGATTCGATCAGATATGCCTTGTGGAGGAAAGTAGATTCCGATAGACACTTATATCATACTCTTGCAGACTCAATGTACTCTACAATATACTCTACAATATACCCAACATGAATACCCAACGAGTGCCCGATGAATGCCCGATGAGTGCCCGATGAGTGCCCACGTCATTTTTCTCGTGTTAAAAGTTCACATTTTACGTTCCCCATTTTAACTTGCAAAAAATTTGATTATGCTGCAATCGGAAAATGTACCTAGTTACATGAAATTCTGAGGAAAACTTTCCTGCGCTCAAAACTTTGTACTTTATGGCGCTCAAAATGGTACATAAAATGTAGAATTTCACCTGGGATTTTGGCACACATCCAAATTTTTTATTTTTATTCGGTCAAAATGTATAGTCAAAACGCCAACTTTATCACTGACATTTTGAAACCAATCTCACATAGTGAAAAACTCCCAAACCGCCCGTGTGTCGTTGACTCAGTGGGTTCAAGGTGTCTCGTAACCGACTTGTATGCAGCCCCCACTCTACGCCCGCCATAGCAATTGTCAATTTGAGGGCGATTTGCTACTGAGCTGAGGGGACTCACCGATGGGGTTGTACAGTTTTTCATTTCCCAGGCTGAGTACTAGATACTGTGAGGCGAGAAGAGCGCCGTGAGGTGATATTTGAGCACACTTGCGACCATGTCGGAGCAGATGGCGCACCATTGAAGACTAGTGAATCAGCTATCGAACCTCCGGAACATCCTCCGAGTAGGTTATTTCGTGGCTTTTGAACCACCTCGGACTTCATCGATCATCGATAGTCTATATAGAAAACGAGAGAGGTAAGTTCAAAGTCAGAACCAAACAAAGGCAGGGTGCCACGGTTATTAGTCAGCACGAGTTGCGACTTTGTTCAACTTGAACCAAACTCGAACTACTTACTCCAGTACTTTCAGACCAGAACTCATTTAGCTGGTAAACTGGCGCATCGGAATGACCGTACTAGTATCAGGTCGTAGAAGCCTCACCAACCCAACTTGACCCATGCATCGCTCTCCTCTCGCAAATTCCTAATTTGGGTTTCAGTGCCTTTCAAGGCATTGCAACGTTCCACCTAGACTCGTAACCAGTCTGACTATGCACCACTCGAGTACCCGTGGTAGTATACGCCAGACTGGTCACGAGCCTACGTTCCACCAAAGACCAAATGTACAGTTGCTTTTGTGAGAATCTGTGACTAAATCTGAACTTTGCAAGATCTTGTAGTTTACTGATTAGTGGCTGAGCATCGCCTCATTCTGTGGATCTGTTATCGCTTCCTCGACTCCAGCTTCAGTGGCTCTCAGTACGCACTCAGTCTTAACTTGAATGGTTCGTGACAGGCAAGTACTTTTTGTGGGCCCTGCACACCCTGCTCGTGGGGCTGGCCAGACTCACGTCAATCGGAGCCTATTCCTCTGTCGCTTCCGAATCCTCATTATAGGAAGAGCGAATGCAGGCAAAACTACCATTCTTCAGACGGTCTGCAAAACATGGGAGAACCCTGAGATATACGATAGCTCTGGGGCAAAGTTAAATGTGCGCAACATGGTGCTAGTAGGAGGATGGTAGTTGATTGACTCATCGAGATCAGATTGATTCCACCGTTTTGATGGCATCGAGGGAGGTAACAAGTATGGGCTTTTAATTCGCAACGTGACCTGATGTGTTCTTAGCGCGGATCGCATGATATCGATAATGAAATGGTGTTTGGAAGCAACCCAAGGTATGTCTTTCACGATTCACGTGGTTTCGAGGCAGGCGGACGCTCCGAATTCGACCTCGTGAAGGAATTTATCGCGAGGCGGTCTCAGGAAGAGCATTTAGAGAATCGGTTTCATGCCATATGGTAACTTTTCACCTTGGTGGCGTGAAATAGCTCACTTCTTTGACATAGGTACTGCATTCCAATGGATGAGAAATGCAGATGGTTCACAGCGGGGGAATCCAATTTTTTCTCTCAGTGCGACACTAGAAACAGTAAGCCTTTGGATCCCACTAATTGTTTGCGATCAACTCATTTCGTTGTTCACAATTCTCAGTTCCAGTGATAGTATTATTCACGAAGTTTGACGCCCTCCATGACGAAGAATTTGCAAAGCTGAAAAGTGGGGGAGCATCGAGGGAGGATGCGAAGAAACTGGCTTCCAAGAATGCCATGGAGTCATTTATGAACGGGTCAGAACTGAAGTCTCTATATGACCCTGCCAACATTCGTTACCCGCCGAAACGTCACGTATGCCTTGCTGGTACGTTGTTTGATTATCACTTTGAAGTCAACAGGGCCGCTTATCTATGTTTGACATCCAGACATGAATGAGGGTGGTGCAGATTGCAGTCCACTCATCGAATGCACGGCTGAAGCGCTGGATAATGAAACACTCAAGCAGTTAATAATCTCAACTCAGCAGACCAATTTGGAGCTGTGCATCAAATACGCGGTTGAAAGGCGGCTCCCAAAACATTGTTTGAGTGGCAATGACTGAATTTGACTTTAGAACACTTGCAGCACACCTCGGTTCTGTTCAGACAATCTCCATATCGGCGGATGATCAAGGGGAAAAGCTGATAGCCAACCTGGCTGGCTGGCTGGCTGGTTTCCGCATCCTTCAGTGAGATGCTAATTTTCAAAAATCCTCACCCGCTGATGTTGGTCGGTTTTTGCAGGCTGTACGTCGATTAATCCTCTTTGGAGCCTGCGCCTTGCTGACCTCAAATTTACTGACCCAATGACAGGCTGTGAGTGTGTTGATCCTTTGCCGATCTCGGGGTTTTCTGACTGACGAATTCCTGATCCTTGGCAGAGAGTGAGTGTGCTTATTTTTGGTAGAGCTCGGGCCATGCTGACTAAAGACATTTCGGATCTGATGACAGACTGTAAGTGTGTTGATTCTGTGTCAACCTCGAGCCTTGCTGACTGATGAAATTACCGACCCGTTTATAGTTCGTAAGTGTCTATACTATACTCTGTCAAGGTCGAGCCATGCTGATCGAAGAAATTGCTGATCATTGATAGGATGTGAGTATTGTGATCATATCTGTCGGGTTTTAGCCCCTGACCAGAAAATTCACCGATTGCTACAGGCTGTGAGTGTGTCGGTTCTCAGTGGAGCTCGAGCCATACTGACTATACAAATTGCCCATCTGATAACAGTTCGTGAGTTTGTAGATCCTCCTTTGAGTTCGGCCCCTGTTAATCCCAGAAATTGCTTATCTGTCTACAGTTCGTGAGCGTGCCGATTCTTTGTCAAGATCGAGGCATACTAACCAAAGATCTTGCTGATCTATTGATAGGTTGTGAGTGTAGAGATCCTCTGTCGAACTCAGCCACGCTGACCGAAGAATGTGCTGATCATTGTAACAGGCTGTGAGGTGTGTCGATTTTCGAATCATGCAAACCGAACTTAAAAGTTTTGTTGATCCGATGACAGGACGTGAGTGTTTTGACTTTCAGTATGGCTCAGCCATGCTGACCGAAAAATTGTATCCTCCGATGATAGTTGGTGAGTGCCTCGATCGAGTCACGGTGACCGAAGAATTTATTGATATGCTGACAGGAAGTGAGTGCGTTGATTCCCTGTGAAGGCCGAGGTATGTTTACCGAAGACATTAATATTGTGGATCCGATAACAGCGGGTGAGCATACTTTCTCTGTCCATCTCAACGTTTGCTCATCAGAGAAATTTGCCATCCCATCGATAGCGAGTGAGTATGTTGATACTATGTTGAGGTCGACACATGCTGACCGACAAATTTGCCGATCTGTGATTAGGAAGTGAGTGTGGTGATTCTCCAGCAAGTTCGCGCCGCGCTGACCAAGGAAATGACCGATCTGATGACAGGCCGTGAGTGATCATTATCATCTGTCCAGTGTCGACTCTCGCTGACCGTAGAAATCGTTGGTTTGTTGACAGTTTGTGAGTGTGTTGATCCTTAGTTGACCTCAAGTCTTGCTAACCAAAAAAATCGCATATGCACGCTGGTAGCTCGTGAGTTTTTTGATTCTTCACAAAGTTCGAGCCATACTGACCGAAGATTTTAACAATCTGTTGATAGTTGGTGCGTCTGTTTATCCCCAATCAAAGTTCGAGCTACGCCAACCAGAGAGAGTTTGTTGATGCTCTGACAGCCTGTAAGTGTAGTGATACTTTGACCTTGGCCATGATAACCCAAGTTATCCCCAATTTGTTGACAGCTGGTGAGCGGTTTATTTTCCATCGAGGTCGAACTACACTGACCAAAGAATTTATCGATGTACTGATAGCCTGTGAGCGTACCGATCCTCTGTCGAGCTCGAGTCATGCTGATTGTAGATGGATGTTGTTAATTCATTGATAGTTGGTGAGTGTTCTTATCCTCCAGGAGGTCGAGCTGCGCTGACCAAAGTTTGTTGATGTGCTGCAGCCCGTATGTGCGATGATCCTCTATCTCCTGTAAGACTCATTGACAATATTCCGAACTTATCGATAGTTGGTGAGCATGTTGATCCTCCATTGGTGTTGAGTCATCTGACCGAGGTGCTGATAGCAAGTAAGTGTGTTGGTCCTGTGTGAGGTTTAGCCATGTTGACAAAAGTAACTGTGGATGGAATTATGGCATGCGGTGAGTAGCCCGTACCATGCTGACTGCAGACATTGCTGACCCAATGATTAGGTTGTGAGTGTGTTGATCCAGCGCCTACCTCGCTCCATACTAAATAAAAGACATTGTCAATTTGTTGACAGTTGGTGAGCATCTCGCTCCTACTGCGAGGTCAAGCTATGCTGACCAAAGATATCCCGATCTGGTGATAGGGTGTGAGTGTGTTATTCTTCATTTAGGCCGAACTATGCTGACCGTAGAATTTGGCGACCCGTTGATAGGATGTGAGTGATCATCTCTCCAGCACCACTC